GTACGAGCTTCTTCTCCCTTCCAGTTAAACATCTACCTCCGTCCAGCTTTCCGGGTGTGGACGCAGGCAGCCTGACCTGACGGGCTGCTTCAGAGCACATCTCACGCAGGAACGGAGCAGAAGGGGCCTTCCTGGGGGCTGCACGGCCACGCGGCGGTGTCAGGTCAGGCATTGTGCTCCAGCCCGAGAGCTGTTCCCCGTTGGCTTCGCTCTCCCCCACACCTGTCCTTTTGGAACAGGCAATAAATGCTGTTCTGTGTTGATTTTCTCTGAATCGACTGTAGTTGTATTGTATAAGTAAGGGACTTTTGGACTTTTTGTAAAATTTTGGACTGTGTTCCAATGGATGTTAAGGTAGATACTATTATTTTTAGTTAATCCATTCCATTTTGGGGTCACACCTGGCAATGCTCAGGGGTTATTCTTGGCTCGGCACTCAGGAATTACTCCTAGGCAGTGCTCATATGGGGTGCCAGGAATCGAACCCAAGCTGGGCGAGTCAAGGCAAACCCCTTACCTGCTGTACTATTGCCCTAGCCTCGCCCCCCCCCCCCCCCAGAGACACTATTATTGCTCACGTTTTCTTTTTTAACATATGCAAGGCAGTAGGGGATAAGATTTGAATTTATTTGTTTGTAATCCTTTCTCTGGTATACATTAATACAAAAAATTTCTATTTTAAATTTCACTGTATCACTGTCATCTGTCTATTTACTCGAGTGGGCATCCAGCAACGTCTCCATTCATCCCAGCCATGAGATTTCAGCAGCCTCTCCTTATTCATCTCTCCCAATGATTGGAGGCTCTTTCAGGGTCAGGGGAATGAAACCTGTTATTGTTACTGGTTTTGGCATATCGAATATACCACAAGGAGCTTGTCAGACTCTGTCCGTGTGGGTGGGATACTCTTGGTAGCTTGCCAAGCTGTCCAAGAGGCATTTTATATATATATATATATATATATATATATAATATATATATAATAATGTGTATGTGTATATATATACACACACACACACATTTCTATGATTTGTTGCTTACTGTCTGAACCCCATCAAATACGGTGTGGTGATTATGGAAAATGGGTAGGGAGAGTCTCGCATCTGGGGCACCCAGAGTGAAAATAGCCTGGCGCAGAGTCTGGTGGCATGGTCATGGAAGCCTCATTTTATGCTCCCTTCCGGGAGAAACATCCTTGAGTTCATGTATAATATTGTGTTAATAACTGATATCAATTTCCTGAGTAGGTTTCAACTGAGAAGTCAAGAGAAGGGTCTCAGAAGAGGGGGTAAGGTGGGATGATGAGGCAGCTAAAACTTACAGAAAAAGGAGGTGGTTAGGAAATTTTTAAATTTCAACAGTGAACATTCAAACCAGAGACAAATACATAGCAGACCGTCTCAAGTCTGAATGCTTGGGTCTAAATAATACATTGAAGAACCAGAAGCTGCACACCTGCTGAATTATTTCCAACTGCTCATGCATCCCTAAAATGAGAGTAGCCTAGCAAGGCATCCAGGTCTGCACCAGGAGATTCGCTGGTTCAGGAACTGCTGCAAGGCCGGAGCAATAAATAGTACAGTGAGTAGTTCATTTGCCTTGCACACAGACAACCCAGGTTCAATCCCCAGCATCCCATATGGTCCCCCGAGCACCACCAGGAGTAATTCCTGAGTATAAGAGCCAGGAGGAACCCCTGGGCATCACTGGGTACCGTGTCTCTTCACAGAAAGCCTCTGTGCCTGAAACAGAAAGCCAGAAGGACACAGCACACAAGTTCGCTACAAATCTCACCCCTGCACAGTTCCATTTCTCCACATTTCACTCAAGGAACTCATCCTCCTAAAGAAAGCCACGCAGCTGCCAAGGAAAACGCTGCCCATTATTTCAGATGTAAACCAGTGGAGATTTTAAGTGATTTTTCACCTAAATAGAGCAATTAGTTATAAACAGAAGCACTGCAGTAACAAGCTATATTTGAATGTTCCCAAGTGCCCTCAGACTCCGTATCTCATGGGTTCGAGTTACATCAGAATTATTTCTTCGTCCCTGTTTCCATTCTAGCCCGTGTTTAGACTATCCGTGCTCCACATCTGCCTGATGTGCGTCCCTGGGTAAACAGCACCGTCTCCCCACTCTGAGCATGCTGGGTCACGGGCTGCTCTGCAGGAGTTGTTTTGTGGTGGGTTGTTTGCAGGAAGCAGGTGTTTCCTTGCCCGTAAAATCATTTAGCCTAACCATCTCCTGATTCAACAGATTAGGATACTTCATCAAACAATGACATTTGGTTTTACTGCCGAGTTTTTGTTTGATGTTCAGAGATCTTAAGGCAGGCCATAGCCACCCGAGATCAATAAAGACCATGAGACAATGCCTCATGTGTGCCTGAATTAGGGACAGCATCTGATGCTAACTGTCCCTCAGAGACCAGGCAGAAGCTCTCAGGCTGCTTTCTGATTGGCACAAGGAGGAAATCATGTCACTCAGACGGCATTTCCTCCTGAACAGATATCCAGAAGGAAGGTTTACACCAGGAGTTATAGAAGGTGCACCCCTGTAACACCGTCTCCCCAACAAAAGCCCTAACACATCCCACCTCGCTACGCAGTTACACAGTCCAGGCCTTGGGAAAACGCATGTCGGCTCTGTGAGCAGTTGAAAGGGATATTCCCGGAGGGGGGTAAAGGCCATCAAATCTTCAAGGACTCACATCACAGCAGGTTTAATAAAGAAGAACAGATGTCAATTTAAAAGCGGGGGGATTATGGAATTAATTGCGAAACAAAAAGTGACACGCTGAGCAAAGTTTTTCCCCCAAATAAATAATGTTAGAACACAGGCAATAGGAACAAAGACATTTTCTTAGATATCCTTTAAGCAGGTCTTATTTATTGATAATTAAAATAAGCAGTCTACAGAAAGTAGACCAAGGACCAAACATGATAGCCTCTCAGTATATGTATTGCAAACCATGATGCCCAAAATTAAAGAGAGAGTAAGAAGGATGGAACCTGCCACAGAGGCAGGGAATGGGATGGGGTGGAGGTGGCGGGTGGGACACTGGGAACAATGGTGGTGGAAAATGTGCACTGGTGGAGGGATGGGCGCTCGAGCACTGTTCGAATGAAACGCAATCATGCAAGTTTGTAAATGCATCTCACAGTGATCCAATAAAACTCATTTAAAAAAATAAATAAAACCCAATGACACAATTTCTATCATAAAAAAATAAATAAATAAGCAGCACATTTTAGCCAACCTATTAATTCAAAGCTCAGCCAAATGAAGGGACTTGACGGAAAGGGAAATGCTTCCTTGAGGCCGAATGGCCCTCTGCCTGAGAGGTTACTGAGTGATCCACTTGAGCCCGGATCATGCCCTGTACAGAGAGGGGCTGATCCAGAAACCTTAGTTTACTGCGGGGTTAAAGGGCTAAGAAAGGCATCAACCTCCAGCTCCGGGGGACAATCCTCACAGTGGCTGTCGGGAAGCTGGGGATAGAAACACCCACTCCAAGTGATGAAGGACATCACTTGGAGATGTCACTTTGTTCCCCCTCACCCTACACCCTCCCCTTTTCCCTTTCTCCCCCTCCCCATTCTCCTTCCCCCTCTCTCTGTGCAGAGAGGGGTCAACCAAAGGATAAGGAAGTAGTGGGCAGGTAGTGTTCCAAATGGAAGGGAAGTCAGGTATGCGAGAGAGGCTGAGCCGGTGAGGATGCCTTCTGGGCTGGAGGTGACCAGGGGCCCGAGAGGCTTGCGATAATGTAGGCCCTTCTGGTAACTGAGAGAGTCAAGAAGCTTCAAGGCCCCACAGCAGAGACGGAAACCATTCTTTAATTCAAACAAAGCAGGATTTCAACCCCCTGTCCAGATGGCATCTTGTAGACATGAAATTTATCGAAGAGACTGCATTATGTGCTATTAAAACTACAGAAAAAAAGCAGGGGAAACTTAACTAGAAAGAAAAGGGGTGCTATTTTAAAGAGCACATACTCAGCAGAAATATTCCCTTTCCAAAAGACAATCCACCTTCTCTTAGACATGAAGTTCCTGGAGGGCAGATTCATTCCCCTCCCCCTCCTCCCAATACCTCATATGGTTAACTTGCCCAATGACAGCATTTAATGAATACCTGCTACGCAGCTAAATAAGAATGCAAAGCTTCTTCATAACTATTACGTTATAAAATCTGCTTAATTTCTGTGTATTTTAATTATATGACATGTTCACTTGTTTCCCATTTTTCACTATAAGTAAACTGATTTGATAGTCTTGCTTTTCAACTATCTTTTTACCTTAGATGTATTAAAGCAAGTAACAATTTCAAAGCAAGTTTAATAGTCATAAACCTATAGAATTAACACCAAAGGTGTTAATAGTAGGCCGATAAACTCGTTTTTTCAATAATAACAGAGACAACAACATATATCAAAATACTATTTCTAAATGCCAAGACGCAATATCAATTTTTAAGTAGTAGAAAATTCTTTCACTGTTTCGTCTTTTTTTATATCTTTTAGACTGAGAGAATTCTTACTAGACATAAATACAACAGAACACAAAGTAATTCTTATTAACGGTATATGCTTTTAAACTGGTACACAGAAAACATAACTTCCAAGTATTAAGAGAAGCTATCAGTAACACTTTCACTTCAAACACAGCATACAGAGGTTGGAGATATGGCTCAGTGGTAAAGCACACACCTGGCATTTGGATGAGACCCTGGACTGGGTACCCTCCTCCCACACACATACATACACACACACACAAACACACACACACACACACACGGATTCACACACAAACCCACCAAAAATACAAGTGGTATGAAAAATAAGTAAAATTTGACGAGTGCTTAGTTGAAATAAACTTAGACATTCTTTAAAGGCTAGACTGCCCAGTTTCATAGAAATCAGTCCTTTTGTTCTTAATTGTTCCATCTGCTGTTTAAAATGTTTTATAACATCTCACCTTTTTTAAATTTAAAAAAATTACCTTTTTTTCATGGGTGCGTTTTAAATGACTTTTCTCCATTTGAAACTTATTTTCCTGATCCTGTAAATGAGAAATACATTTGAATTATAATTGAAATTATTACTAAAGTCAAAATGAGTAATTGAAAAAATTAATAGATTTGAATACAAACTTCTGAGTTTTGTGTATTGTCAAGAGAACCTACACTCCCATTTCCTGAACTGTAAGCAGACATAGGTGACCTTGCTACCGGAAGAGAGAGAAACATTCTGATCCTTAGGATTAGAAAGTTCCTTTAAAAACTAAATCATTAGGGAAATAATAATCTGTAAGTGTTACCACATACCAATCCCTGATATATTTGACCTTGAGGTCAAAGGAAAGATCCAAAAGGAAGGGAGGGTGTGTGTGTGTGTGTGTGTGTGTGTGTGTGTGTGTGTGTGTGTGTGTGTGAAGAAAGAAATTACAGAAACTGGCAGACAGTAATTTAAAGGGAGGAATTCTGAAATAATAACATCAACTTTCATTTATACAGTTAGGTCAAGAAAAAAAGCCCAGTCATTGTTGTTCTGTGTAAAAATGCCAAACTCACCTTCAGTTGCTGCTTTCTTTGAAGTTCTAATTCCTGTAACTGTTGTTTTAATTGACAGATGTTCTTTTCTAACCCTTCAATTGTACCAGATGCCTACAAAGATTTTAAGAGGGAAAAATTAAAAGCAGAATATTGATTTTTATTTCCTTCCCAGAAGCTTACTTAAAATTTAACCTATACATCTGAATGAAAATGTTTAAGTTTTAAAAATTCTTAAAAGTAAAAGCTCATATTGAATTTTGCACATAGTAAGGTTTTAAAAATATAAAATTGTACATACATTTTACCAAAAATGTTAAAATTTGAGGGCTGGAGAAATAGCACAGCGGGTAGGGTATTTGCCTTGCACGCGGACAACCCAGGTTCGATTCCCAGCATCCCATGTGGTCCCCTGAGCACCACTAGGAGTAACTCCTGAGTGCAGAGCCAGGAGTAACCCCTGTGCATCGCCAGGTGTGACCCAAAAAGCAAAAAAAAAAATAAATAAAAGTTAAAATTTTAATTTTAAAATCAAAATCTAGGATCAGAGCAACAGTATAGCAGGCAAGGCACTTGCCTTGCATATGACCATTCGAGGTCCAATCCCTAACACCCTATATGGTCCTCTGAACCCTACCAGGAGTGATCCCTGAGTATCACCAGGTATGGCCCCCAAACAAACAAACAAATAAAATCCACTGCAACACTTAATTGCCCAATCATCAAAAAGCATTTTACATTAGAATTGTAGCTATAAGATTCTCTTGGCAGGGGAGTGTGGGGGCGACTAAAACCTCATGGGAAGGGGGGCGTTCTGGTCCGTCCTTCACGCCCTACCGAGGTCACCAGTTGCCCCCCACGAGCGGCTCTCCAGCACGGCCACAGCCCCAGAAGCACAAGGGCTTAATGCAGAACCCAGCAGCTTGGAGCAGAAAAGTGAAAGGACTATGCGTTAATCCAGGCAATCATTTCTGCCCAGAGGGGAAAGGGTGTTGCCCCATTCGCCCTCTCCTCTCTGGAAAGAAAGATGGCGGCCACATGGGAGCCTTGTGGACAGCAGGTATGAGCCGGGAGTGTGGGGGCGACTAAAACCTCATGGGAAGGGGGGCGTTCCGGTCCGTCCTTCACGCCCTACCGAGGCCACCGGTTGCCCCCCGCGAGCGGCTCTCCAGCACGGCCACGACTCCAGAACACAGAAACCAATTTCTTAACTATCTGACTTTCAGTAGAAATACTTCCAGGGTCAATAGGTAAAATAGCAGAAATCCAAAACCAACATTTAATTCTTGAACCCAGCTGTAGAAAGCAAATCACTCCACAATGCTTTTTCAACATGTCTGATTTGGGGGGGGGGGTAAACTCTAAATAATAGTGGTGAATCTTTTATTGAAACAATGAATCTAATTAAAGCAGATAGAGTGCTAACTAGAATTCATCTGCCTCACAGGGACGGGGAGGGGTGGGGGGTGGGGTTTTATTGGGGTTCTTCATGGTAAAAAATAAGTATTGGTAAAGGGAAATGTGTTTGATATTTGCATGACTGAGACATAAACCTGAAAGCTTTGTAACCTTTCCCACAGTGATTCAATAAATAAATAAAAAAATTAAAAAAAAAAAAAGATTCTCTTGGCAGAAAGCATCAATTCTCTGATGTAAAAAGTTAGCGTTAGCGAATGTGCCCACAGCTCATATATACCCACAGATTCAAAATAACAATAATGCACAAAGTATACACTAACAATAATGTACATAATCTTTAAAAAAGCACATTTTAAACACAATGTAGAAATCTATCTCAGAATTTTGTGTTTCCATTTTTAAAAATTGGTTAGACCTTAGAAGGGTCAACTTATTATAAAAAAAGCTTTCTGCACTATTTATTATTTCATTTAAGACATCTCGCATTCTCAGAATTTTTAAAACCAATAAAAACCTGTAACATTTCAGATAAAGAATTTCCAAGAAGTAAAGCAGAAGAGTTCCTTCGAAAGTCACATGGGTATCTCTGACTAGTAAATAACTAGATGGATGTCTCCATTCGCATATGCAATACCTTAGAAGCGGAAAGAGAATGTTCTTTCTTCAGAAGAGTTATATCAGTATCAAACTTGGTTTGTAATAGTTTTATGTTTTGCTCATAATCATTTAGAAGATGTTCTTTCTCCTTGTGCAGGACGCTGTGCCTATAAGCAACAAAAACAATGAGATAGACTTCCCATGGATTTAGGATGAATGTCCCAATTGAAAAGCATCACATTTCTTTCTTCACATATTTGTCTAGATTTTTATCATTATGCTCTTAAACATTATGCTTTTAATATTAAGTGGAACTTAAAAAATAAACAAAGGAAGAGCACTTAGGTTGAAGATCACCCATGGTTAATATGCCATGTCAATTAATTTTGGCCAATAATTGTCTAGTTCATCGCCCCATTTGATAGCCAGTTCTGGTAGATAACTGATTTCAAACAATACCTCGCCTTCACTTCTTGCAATTCACTGCAGGTTATCTGGTAACATCGCTCTAGTTCCAATTTATCTTGAATTAGTTTCTGCCTCTGTAAATTACTGTTCTCTGCTTCTCCTGTTAGTTGCTGGACACGGGACTCCAGTTCCTTCACCATCTGATTCTGAAAGGACAGGTCACTGTTATAAAGTCCTCAGACTCTGCCAGCCTCTGTCTCACAGAGCTGACCGAAGGAAATATCTCCATTCGAGACCAGAACACATAGAACAAATGCACCACAAATTATGCTCATAAAAATGAAATCAACCTCCAAATCAACCAAGTTTTTGTGAAGAAGAGAGGCTGTTGACTATGAAAGAACATCATCCATTCACTCATTCTCTCCGCGTATTTACTGAATTTGGATCTCGGTGAGGACCTAGTGATTGAGTAGCAACTGGGGAAACCGAGGTCCTATGCTCAGGAAGATACAATCTCTTTACCCAACTTAATTAATGTGCATCCCCAAATTAGGAGAGTATTGGATATGTTCACTGCCATCATCATCTGAATTCAGAAACTTAAAATTATGAAAGTAACATGATAACATTTTAACAGACGATTCATAACCCCCAAATGCTTTCTTTTTAATGGGGGCCTAGTACCATGCCCTGTAATGCTCAACCTGAAAATTCAGTGCTCAGACGTCATTGGAGTTACACTGAGTGATGAGTGGAGTGCCACAGGTGGTAGGGCTTGCAGTTAAGACTGGCATAATAGGATTGTGTGCTGCCTTTTCAGCCGCATACCCATCTGGACCCATACAGTCTAATACTGGGGTTATCACATAACAGATACTTTGAATTTCTCACCTATCCAGAACTAGATGTAGATATTTATGATTATAATACCTGCACTGTAGCACTGTCCTCCCATTGTTCATCAATTTGCTCAAGCGGGCACCAGTAATGTCTCCACTGTGAGACTTGTTGTTAGTTTTTAGCATATTGAATACGCCACGAGGAGCTTGCCAGGCCCTGCCGTGAGGGTGGGATACTCTCCGTAGCTTGCCGGGCTCTCCGAGAGGGATGGAGGAATCAAACCCGGGTCGGTCACGTGCAAGGCAAATGCCCTACTCGCAGTGCTATCGCTCCAGCCCAATTATGATATTGGTGTTTATAATATAGGTATTTATAGCTATTCCTAAAATTAGGACTAGCTAGCATCAGCTAAAGGAATAAATGATTTTCATTTTAACAATGACACTTCCAGAAACATTTAAAATAAAGTGTAAGCATTAAATACTAGAGCCCCAGCATACTTTATTCACTTAACTTTTTGTCTTAATAACAGTATGAATCTGAAATTTAATTAGCTTGATACAGTATCTCCCAAATATAAGAAATTGATTCTATTAAACTTAAAAATATGGTCTAGAGATTAATTTTTAAAATACACACTTCCTAATTGAGCGCCAGATACATATCAGATGTTCAGACTGCCTCATCACATCATATCCACTTTATCCCTTTGTAAATGATTACTCTGTTCCAGAAGTTATTTTCAGTAGATAGTTTCCGTTTCTAACACATATTCAAAATTCTCTTTATTTCCCTGCCATTGATCAGAAGTAAATAAAAGAATATATTCTCTGTCTTCCAGTTTTAACTGGTGGAATAGAAATGATTTGAAATTCCCTCTTCTCTTGGAAATTACCAAAAAAGATACAAAGCATATTAAGGACAGAATGAATCTCTACCTTGCTATTCTTGTGAGAAGAACTTCTCTGCCCAGCCATGAAAAAGTAGCGAGCACACTGGAAACAAGTGCCACGCCCAAAGACACTTGTCAAAGAGCAAGTCAGTGGCCAGGCACTAGAAGAACATTCAAGTCACCTTGTCCCTAAGGTGGGCTGAGGCAGAGAGCTGAGATTGATGAGTCCCTGTTTTGGAAGCTGCTCTGAACTGTGAGGCATCTGCCACTCTTGAAGGATGGCAATGAGCAAGGACAACAGGGCAAAGGATGCCAAGGCAGGTAGGACGTGATGAACCAAGAGCCCCGAAAAGGAATCCAGAAAGAACTGGGTGCCACACATGTAGAGTTCCTCTCAGGGGCTTTGCCTGCTTCTCCATATTCACAGGGAGAAAAGCCAAGGAAGCATGGGGAAATAGTCTGGGACCCAATGAGAAGGTCAGCATCACCAGGGTGCAGGAGTCAAAGCCGGGGGGGAGGTTCCTTAAGGCGGAGAGGCCCAAATAACAGTGGAGTCCTGTGTTGACAATCCAACTCAAGAGAGAACTCAGCGGAAGAGACCAAAGACTACAGACTCTGCAGGCAGTCCTGGGCCAGCTCGGACCCTGAGTGGTCAAGAGGAGCACTGGCTGCCACGCAGAGCTCAAGTGGAGACCCCCTGAGGAGAGAATCATCCAAAGTGCTCCTTCCTGTCCACATACAACACTTGGCACTGAAGCAGAAAATAAGGGGCTGACCAAGAAACAAAGTCAAAGAGGAAAAACAAAAACAAACAATAAAAACAGGCACGTGCCTGGTCCAGATGCTAAAGCATCACTTGATCACTTGATCCCCCGTTATTCATCGATTTACTCGAGCGGGCACCAGTAACATCTCCTTTCATCCCTGTTGCGAGCTGGCGTAGCCTAATGGCATCTGTTTGAACATGCAGAGCCTCAAACCAATCATTCAGGGTCTTGACGAAGAAGTTTGACCATCTTGTAGGTGGGCGTCCATGCGATCTTTTGACGTCCCGTGGAATTCAGTCAGTAATGGCTCTAGTCCAGCGGTTGTCTGTAAACCTCATTACGTGTCCAGCTCATCTGATTTTTGATGCCTTGGCAAATGAGACAGCATCCCTGATTCTTGAGCGTTGACGGAGATCAGAACTCCGGATTCTATCTCTCATTTGAGTGAATCGTGATATTCCAAGCATAGCTCTTTCGATTCCTCTTTGAGAGACCCAAATAGCGTTCTCATCCTGTTTTCGGAGGGCCCATGTCTCTGAGGCATATGTTAATGCAGGAAGAACAGTGGAACTGAGATGTGCTCATAGCTGGAGGTCCTTTGTCCTCTTAGTTATTTCTTCAATGCTCTTGAAGGCATTCCAAGCCGCTCTCTTCCTCCTGCGCAACTCAGGTGACAGGTCATTCATCATATTGATTTCTCGACCTAGGTACATATAACTGTTGCATTCGGAGATGGTGGTTCCATTGAGAGCGAATGGAGCGTCAGGAATGAGGCTGTTTCTCATAAATATTGTCTTTGTAAGATTCAGCTGTAGTCCAACCTTTCCACACTCATGGTCAAAGTCGGTCAGCATTTGTGCCGCTTGGCTGATGTTTGCTGTTATTAGAACGATGTCATCAGCAAAGCGGAGGTGGTGTAGTTGCCGACCATCTATCTTCACTCCCGTTCTTTCCCATTCCAGTTGTTGCATGATGTTCTCGAGGGTGGCACTGAAGAGATTTGGTGAAATGGTATCACCCTGTCGAACCCCTCTCTTGACATGGATGATTACTTCTTTGTGGAATGGTGAGATCCTGGTAGTGAATCTGTAATAGAGCTCATGAAGGATCCTGATGTATTTAGTTTGTACGCCCTGATTGGCTAGGGCTTCTATGACCACTTCTGTCTCAACAGAATCAAAGGCCTTCTTTAAATCAATGAACATTAGACAGCGGCACCTTGAACTCCTGAGAAACCTCAATGAGCTTAGTAATCGTGTGGATATGGTCAATGGTGCTTAATCCTTTTCGAAATCCAGCTTGCTCGCATGGTTGTCCTTCATCTAGTGTTCTGCCAATCCTATTCAGGATGACTCGAGTGAACAGTTTGTAGATGACAGACAATAGGCAGATTGGGCGATAGTTGCCAATGTCGTGGATGTCTCCTTTCTTGTATAGTAGTACAGTCCTGCTGGTTTTCCGTTGGGATGGAACCTTGCATTCAGACAGGTAGCATGTGAAGAGCCAAGCCAGTGTATTGATGAGTACCGATGGTAAGTTCTTCAGGTGTTCAGGTCTGATCTTGTCTGGGCCAGGTGCTCTTTGTTTCTTTACCGACGAGATGGCATGTTGGATTTCGGAAGGGAGAACATTGGGAACGAAATATCTATCATGCGGAATGTGGTATGTGGGCAAATGGACGTGGCTATTAAAGAGATCTGAGTAGAAGTTATGAATAATCTTCTCCATTGCACTTCTGGAAGATGTGATAGATCCATCAGGATGTCAGAGGGCAGTCATCTTGGTCTTGTAGGTGGTGAAGGACAGGCGGACATTACGAATGCTTTTCCCGACTTCTGCCGCATCTACCAGCACCACTGCTCTCCTGTCTCTGAGGTCATCCTTGATGGCTTCTCTGCATTGTTTTGCCAGCTCGGACGTTCGCTTGCGGTTGCCTGAGGCATGTGCCAAGTCACGTTGGCGAATAAGTTCAAGAGTGTTCGAAGAAAGGCGGTTTTTTGTGGTTATCTCTCTTGGCATTCCTTGCACAATCATGGAGGTGCTGAATCATTCGATCGTATTCCTCATCAATGTTGTCAATGACAGCATCTTCCCATGTTGCTGCAACAGAGCCAAAGAGTTCCCAGTTGGTGGTCGTTCTGGGAGTTCTCTTCTTAAACTTTGCATTCTTCTCTCCTCGTTCTGTGAGGTAGAATTTTGCACGAAGGAGACGGTGGTCCGATCCCATTTGGAATTTTGAGACAACAGCAACATCGGTTAGGCAAAACCGCCGATTGAATATGATGTGGTCTATTTCATTGTGGAACCGTCCACCAGGAGACTCTCATGTCCAACGTTTAGATTCAGCCTTTTGGAACTGTGAGTTACCATGGAAGGTCTTGGTTGACATGATGAACTCAGACAGTCTGTCACCCTGTTCGTTCCATTCTAGGCCATGGGTCCCGATGTGAAGTTCATCGGCTGATCTTCTTGGTCCTATTTTGGCATTAAAATCACCTACAATGATCTTGTAGAAGGTCTGATCTTCTTTATAGAACTTCTCCAGCTCCGTGTAGAACTTCTCAATTTCTCTTTCACCATAGTTGGATATTGGTGCATAGACAACAAAGATAGAAAATGCTGGCAATGAGCCACATCTATTCAAGTGTAATCGTCCAATTCAGGCTGTTAGGCATTCGAATGAATCAATGCTCATGGCTAAGTT